GAAAAAAATATGTTTTATGCCATGTTTACGTTAGAACTTTTTGCAGGGTTAACCTACTTCAAGAGGATTTATTTAAATTATTAGTAATCGATATGACAATTTTAATACAAATCTAGTGGGTTAACCCATTTATATGTAAACGTACTGTTAAGTTCAATATCATGGGTCCTTCTTCTTGCACAATTGCAGGGCGGAAAAAAGTAAGTCAGAAAACTAGGTTTACGATCTATTTGCCTGACCGGCATTATTATTTACAGACTTGGGCTGATCTAATGTCTCGCACAATAAAGAAAATAACGGAAAATAAAAAAGGAATCAAGAAACAGGTGGCGGTTTATACCGAGTTGAGTGTCTGACGGAGCTTGAAACAACAAACAAATTCTAAGCACCTCTTAAATGCCTCCGTGGTACATTTTGAAGCTCCTCCACGTCATCTATAAAATATTATTCAACAGAAATATTAATTTTTTTTAACACAAATAAATTGAACACATTCACTGGGAAACTCGGAATATTATTTTGTTTGTTTATTTACAATTTGTTTTTATTTTTTGCAACTGAACTGTCAGTTTAGACAGAGCCAGCTGACGTATGGTTGTATTTTTTACAGCTTTTCACGTTTAAATCTGCCGTTTTGGCGCTTTTTTTAAATTTCCCTAGTAATTTTTCAAAGGTATATTTAGCAACACTGAGTCACGTAAGGCTATGCGAAAGAACGAAGGAATGTTAGTGCAACGCATTCGGATACGAAAGTGAGTGACTAGCTTTCGTTCGCACAAATTTTCTTTCGATATCGTGGAACACGATGCTAGTTAAGCTTTGTATTGCTCTCTTTCATATATCTTCTAAAAATGGTATTGTAAACCCTCTTTTGTGTTACGATATGTTTTCAGTTCTTTTAGGGAGTAAAAGAATGCTGTATTTTGTTTGGAAAAGTATAATAATTAGTACAGCCTCGTACATCACCCTTTTTTCGATGCAACAACAATTTAAAAATATGATTTGTTTAGAGTTTGTAAAGTAATATGTGACATACTGTAGATATTTACAATGATATAAATTGGCAAATGCATTTTTTTGAAAATAATCTTAATAATACCATGTTCCCACACTCTACAATTTTTTATTTGATGTACAATCAATTTATGTAAAATTCTCATTGTTTATTCATGAATATAATCATGATTGCCATCTGTCTAATTGATAATAGAGTGTGAGAATTGAAAAAAATTGGGTGCTTTATTATGATTTCCCATTGAATAGTTTAAATTTATTTCTTTAAATTATTATTTCTTTGTATAAACCTAAATTTAAATAAAGGACATGTGGCAAATATCATAGGACGTCTATTTTAAGCGTTTTACGAAAATAAATCATTTATATTCATCCTAAAATTATCTGTTTCTTTAATGAAATCGAAAGTATTTTTATTCGACTTAAAATTATATGTTGCTTTAATGAAACCGAAAGGCCTTCTTATGGGTTTCAATTCAAAAGGTTTTTTTTTTCTTCTAATTCAAAAAATGCAGTTTTGAGTTCAGTGACTGAGTTGGTTAAAAAAAAAACTGGTCATTAGTTGTTACAAACCAATGGCCAAAAATTTTTTGTTATCTTCGTCCACAAAGCTCTTTAAGTGACCTTACAGTGACTGAAAATAATGTGATAACTTATTTCGTGACACAGATTCAGCATACATCAAATCGAAACTTGTAGAATTCAACTAACCATGAGACGATGTTGTATTTACCATGTATAGAAAATAGAAACTTAAATTCCGAAATTAAACATTAATTGTTTTGTTTTTTCTTTGAAAGAAAATCTTCTTTGATATTGTGTGGTTTTTTTTTAAGAATAAAATAATTAACGATAATCGTTTCGTTAATCAATGTTTTGCATGGTTAATGTTTTCAAGAATATTCATTAAAAGTCAAATATACGCCTTTTGTTAGTGTTAACTAACTACGAAACTCTTAAAACAATCTTATCAGCAAGTTTGGACCTGGGTATGTGATTATATTCGGCCACTTAAACTCAAAACTAAAAAATTTATGCATGACGTTCAAAGTTCAGAATTAAATTTTTACTCAAAGTAGAATAGAAAACAAAGAGTTATTTGAAACGAATTCTAGGTTTCATTCTAGCAGTCATTTTAAATCAAGAAGCTGCTCATTTGAAATCAGAATTTTTAATATTGATCAATAGCATTTTAAGCAAGTCCATGTCCAGAGACACTGATTTCCTGTATAATTTGGGTCCACAAACGATTTTCAATTTTTACTAGTTCTTTTTAACCCACTGGATTTGAATTAAAACTGTCATCTTCATTACTTAAACTTCAAATAAATTCTTTCAATGTAGGTTAACCCTACAAAAAGTTCTAACGTAAACATGGCATTAAAAGGGGTAATAACGCATTTATATTAATGAAGATCAGCCCACTGGGGTTAATAGATCACTGTGTTAACCTTGTGCGTTTAGATACATCCCGCTGCCCCAATGCCGCTTAGCTGGTGTTTGTTTACAAATATATACTCAAGAAACAGGGAATGCAATAAATAGCCAAAAATGGTGTAGGAAAAAAGCAAATATAGAGACAACAAATGTTTGAAAATATGTATTTTTATACCCTACACCACATAGTGGTAAGTGGTATGGTATGATGTCTTAGTGCATTTGTTTGTAACATGGAGAAGGAAGCGAGATAGACCCATAGTTACCTTTGAGAATCTTCATAAAACCACTTTCTGGGTCGATTTATGCATGTCCGTCCGTCCATGTATTCTTGTGAAAAAATGCAGGTCGCATTTATTATTCGATTGATTTGTTTGGCCCAAGGACGAACCGAATTGGCGATGATCGGATTAGATTTAGATATAGCTCCCATATGTCTTTAACCGATTTCGGCTTAATTGTGCACCAAATGACCAATATAAGTCCAAATGAGCGGAATTTTGGCACATCCTACCAAATTCAGTCTAGAAGCAAGTGCATCAAATTTAGTGAAAATCGGTTCAGATTTGGATATAGCTCTTATATATGTTTCATCCGATTTGAGGTTTTAAGTCCCTCCGATACGTAGTAAGCACCCCACAATAATGATATTTAGTACCAGATATCAGATACAGCCAAGAAATAGCCCTGCGAAATTTTATCAAGATCGGTTCAGATTTAGATATAGCTCCCACATATATCTTCAACCGATTTCGGGTTAATATTGCACCAAATGACTAATATCAGTCCAAAAGTCCTGAATTTTGTGTACAGTCGATCGAATTCAGTCTAGAAGCAAGTACTTCGAATTCGGTGAAATTCGGTTCAGATATAGCTACAGCTCCCATATATATGTAGGTTTCTTTTTCAATATTATAAGAATAATTTAATAAAAAATTAAATAGAGTCAATTTTGTTTTGTAAGACTTCAGTGAAAATATATTATTATTGAAAGAAAATAATGCCTATTAATATATTAACTCATTCTAAAATTGAGAAAAAATTGCAAATGAATGGGAACAACTTGTTGCATCTAATTTTGATAGAAACCGGACATAGCCTCAGAGTTGTATTTCATATGCGAATTTATATCTGGCAACCCTATTTTATGAGAGATACTTGTCATTTCTCATTCTTATCCACTCGATTAGATTTCGTAACGTAATCATAATGTTGTAGGGGGAAGATATAAATCTGTTATGTTAAATATTGATACACAAATATTTTGTCTATGATAAAAAGCTGAATTATTATGGGAAATCTCTTTCGATATAAATAACCGGATGTAGCACGTAAAACCCTAATAATTTAGTTTATCGACAAATGTTATGACAAAATGTTATTCTTCATTTTCAAATTTTTGTATGAATGCTTCCCGCCTTTTCCATCTAAACTGGGGGTTTAAGATTTTTCAAAGTTGCTGGTTGATATACTAGGAAGCCCTTTTTACTTCCTCTTATTGATATAACTGCAGATATAAGTGTAAATAAAATTATCGTTTATACGGAAACAAGTTTCATTTTCATACAACCCTCATAACCCGTATAACAGTTTTAGTTTTTACAATAATCTCTATGTTTTACTAACCTTACTCATTTGATAAGAACGAATGCTACGAACAGCTGATGGCGGAATACGGTTACAATTATCTCTCTTATCTCATAATGGGGAAAAAACTTTCACTACTATCGAACAAACGTGTTGTATTTTGTTGGTTAATTTAAAAAAAGAGGAAGACAAATATCTAAATAATGACATGAGAAAGTAAATAATTTTGTTGGTTGGTCTTTTATCTGCCCGATCGTTGTTTTTGTTGTATCCTACAAATTAAACCTATGATCTTCTTTGTTGTTTACAAGGTTAGAGTGCGTGACCGATCTGCTGGAGATCAAGAAAAGACGTTTCTTGTTGATAGCGTTGGGGATTGTTTTTGACAAACAAACAGTTTTTTTTTTTTTAATTTTTAGCTGTGTCTTTGCTTATTATACTAATGGCCTGTGCAAAAAGAAGAGGAAGCAAGTAAATAAACAAACCAGAAATGTTGTTTGCATTGAACGTTATACGGAATTCATTTGCTTTTCCTTTTTATATGTTTGTTCCATTAGCACTAAGCGATTCAAGTAAGACGTTCTGATTTTCAAATTTTGTTCGTTGCTTATTACGATTCATCGCATTAACACATTTTGCTGTTTTGTTTTCGTAAAATTCAAAATTCATTGACAAAGTCTACGAATAAGGTAAAGTAAAAATAAATAAATCAGCAAGTTATAATAAACTATGAACCTTTAAAAGCACACTCACACACACACAATCACAACACATGTGTCCCCATTTCTGGATAAGCATTTTTCAGCAGATGCTACAACCACCACCAATTCAACTAACATTGTTTAGATCTTGTAATTTTTGGTTACTCCGTTGGGAAAGTAACAACAACCATAACGGAAAAAATAAATACAAGTTTGTTTTTTCTCTTATTTTGTTTAAACAATTTTTTTAGTATAACTCACGTAATATCTCGTTTAGCTGTTGCACCGGCTATGTAAAACCATCGCCAGCCCGGTTTGGTGAGCAATATCACCAACAAAGCGACGAGGAGGGCAGGTAATCCGAATGTCCAACCCATGTAGTACCAGATAAGCGTAACAATCGCGGTTAAAATGCCGACACCAACCACACAGCTCACAACGCGCAGAAAGACTGAAGAGCTGGAATAAAATAGAAGAATATCAAACTTTGCAATATCAAACAAAACTCGAACTGAATGTATCTGACTGCGAAATGAGTCAGCTGATAAAACAAAAATGAAATGATTTTGAGTTTATTATGAGAGACAAAGGCATTGAGAGAGAGAGAGCGTGAGAGAAATACATAAACACAATAAGAACGGGCGTCAAAACACAATCGTGACGTTGTCGTTTCACGTTGAACATCAACAAAACACTGTATTATTTCGAGTCTTCTTGGTAATAAAAAATGATTAACTTGCTTGTACGATCGGAACAAAAGCTAAAGCAATAAAAATTCAATCAATAAGTCCTCTAAAATGTGACTATTTTTTCCGTTATTTATTATTGTATTCGAGCATCTAACACTTGAAAAATGCTTAGTCTAAACAAGTAATAATAAAACAGCTAAGTTCGGCTGGACCGAATTTCTAATACTCTCCACCATTTGAAAGGAACTTGAAAAATTTAACAAAAAAAAAAAAAAAAAAAAAACCAAAACTACCACTTAAATACGAAATATTTTTCCATAGGTTGTAGTACATATTTAGATTTTCCAAGACGAAATTTGAAACGATTCCGGTGAATAATATTGCTGAAATCATCAAAATACCGACTATAGGGAAGTATCGTTATAAGGGGGCTATACGAAGAAATTTTTGTCATAGGCTGTAGTACCCATTACGAACTTCAAATACGAAATTTGAAATAATTCCGGTAAATAATGTCGCTAAAATCATGAAAATACCGAATATCGGGAGGCACCGTTATATGGGAGATATACGAATACGTGGACTTGAATACAAAACATTTTGTCATAGGCTGCAGTACCCATTACGAACTTTAAATATGAAATAATTCCGGTAAATACAGGGTGAGATGAAAACTGCAACCTACTTCAGACTGCTGCCGTTTCCAAGCCACTCGCCCGACAGCTGTTAAAATTGTTCCAGTGACAGCTCATTACATTGTTTACAAGCGTACAAAAGCATTTTGGTAAGAAAAAAAGTTATTCGTTATGGAATTCCAACGTGATAGTGTGATCTCTTTATATTTGGCTGGAAAACCACAATTTCTAGCTCACATTGGCCACAAAAATCTCCGGATACCAATCCGTTGGACTATTGTGTCTGGAGTATTTTGGAAAGCAAGGTTGACACTAAAAATACCAAAGTTTCGTCACCTCAAGCAAGCGGTTTGGCGGGAATGGACCAAAATACCGCAGAGCAGCGCGTGACGGTTTCATTGGCCGTTTGAAGGTCATAATTCGTGCCAAAGGTGACCAATTCGAACATTTTTGCTTTCATCCAATAAAATTAAAAACAAAAAATGTAAAAATTATGGCGTTTGACTTTGTTGCAGTTTTTTTTTTATCTCATCCTGTATATTTTATGATATCTACGAAGAATATTTAGGGATGTTACAAACGAATTTACAAGGTTTATATACCCTCCTTTTATAGGTGATTCACAAATTAGGAAAAATAGCCCAATAAATGATTGAGACATGCGTCTTTATATACCATCAGGAAATCGTCGAATATGATTCTAAAGTAATGTAGAGGAAGACTCACATGCAATTTTTAAAAACGTGACCTCCCGTTTTTCTCCAGACAAATTCGCAATCAGAAGGATCAAAAAAGATGACGCATAGGTCGACTATATGATAACAAAGGCACAATAAGGAGGTAGAAAAGCTTTGTAAAATTACAGAAATTCAGCTCCGAGGCTATTCCCGCTTCCTGTCAGAATCAATAAAAATTGTATGCTACAAGTTGTTTTCATTTATTTAATATTTCTTCTCATTTTTAAAACATGTTTTACGTGGATTTACTTTCAAAAATATGAAAGAATGTAATTTTCTTCCAATCATTGATTATGAAAATTGTTTGTTTTTATTTTTCAAAACAATAAATACCTACACAAAAGTGGCAGAAGTCTGGCACACTAAGAAAAAAATTGTAATCAGCTGGTTGCTCCTTACTTTTTTATTGTACCATGAGGATACTCCACATCACTATATATATTTAATGTATGTATTCTTTTCAATTATATGGCAATTGTTTAGAAAATATTCTAATTTACCATATGTGGAGAAAAAATCTTTATCTATAAGTTTAAAGCGATTTACATTTCAACTCGGATGGAATTATATATTAATTAAATGAATTAAAATATAAAAGTTTTAATTATGTTATGGCAAGTTTTTGTTATAGTACTAAAAATATTCCGCATTTTTGGTCGAACCCCAACGCCAGCACTTCATATGGCAACCCTTCTATTTCACAAACTTATTCTCCGCGTTTTTTTCACACGCTCATTCTCTTGTGTTTACAATTCTCTCAGCTAGTCTCTCAAAAATCGAACAAAACAAATTATTTTCCTTACCAATTACTTGTTAATAGAGAAAAAACAAAAGATATTGTCTTGCATGCAAATTACTGTTGTTTATAAATAAATATTTTAATTCGTTGTTATTGGCGTGAATAGGTAATTATGTATCTCATTTTTTGAAACGAATCGAAGGGGAAAACGAGTCAACTTACCCACGATCGCTGTTAACTAGGGTTTTGTTGTCATTGTCGGCAACACCGTTTCGCTTCACATCAATGTCGATAACAACCGGCGATGATTTGCTGTTATCGCTACCATTGCCATTCAATTGTGGTGGCGGAGGTTGTTGTCCGTGCTAAGGGTGGTAAGAAAAGAAATACAAATAAGAAAATTTTGTGGTGAGTTCAAAATATTTAAGAGTTGGGACAAATTGAGGGATTGTCATTAAAATAATGAAATCAGTTATGTCTACAATTCAAAATTGGTTGTGGATATGTTTGTAAGATGGAATTAATTTTATTATAGGGCAAAAGGTTTCTCTTTTAATATAAACAAATTTGTTTTCTTAAGGGTTTAAATATGAGATGAAAATATTTCGTTTACCAAATTTTTATAAGGCTACATTTACATTGAGGGCAATGCCACAACGCGTTCATTTTACCATGATCATCGTCATAAAATGTTTCAAAAGAAACAAAGAAACGTAGCCTAAAGAGTTTTTTTTAAAGAATTGAGCCCTAGGTCTATGACATACATGCATTCTATAACTATATGCATACATACAGGGTGAGATGAAAAATCTGCAATCAACTTCAGACTGCTGTCATTTCTAAGCCACTCGTCCGACAGTTGTTAAAATTATTCCAGTAACAGAATTTTCCAGAAAAAATAGTGATCTTTTTATATTTGGCTGGAAACAACAAGTGGCTATCGTTAGAGCACTCCAGCATTTAAATGTGAATAAATCTTTTGTGTCTCGTACAATCGCTCGTTACCCGACGCAGCGTCGCAGTGGCCGAAAAATGGCTTGTGATCTGAACATATCGCAATATTCCATCCGGCAAATATTGGAAAATAAACTCGGGCTAAAGCCATTGAAATTCCAAAAAGCGCAAGAACTTACACCGCAACAGAAAGAAGAAAATAGATTCAAAATAGCTAAAGAGTTGCTTCGCTGGGCCGAAAGTGGTGAAATGCCGAATTTCGTTTTCTCCGATGAGAAAACATTCGTTGTCCAGCAGTTTGTAAACGAACAAAATGATCGTGTTTGCTTGCCAAAGAGGTTAGCTGAAAATGTGCACCTTCAGAACTCAAGCGCCGGCCATGGTGATGGTGTGGGCTGCCAGAACAGCCGATGATAGCTCTACACTCGTATTAATCGACCGTAGCATCAGAATAAATGCCGAATATTATCGCGAAAATATTCTGGAGGGTGTATTAAAGTCTTGGGCACGCAAACTCAGGACTCAGCACGCACCACCCAAGAATGGTTACACAATGGCACACAATGGCCACCAAAGTCTCCGGATACCAATCCGTTGGATTATTGTGTCTGGAGTATTTTGGAAAGCAAATAAAAAAAATACCAAAGTGTCGATCACCTCAAGCAAACGCTTCGACGGGAATACGCCAAAATACCGCAGAGCAACATTCGGGCAGCATGTGACGGTTTCATTGGCCGCTTGAAGGCCATAATTCGTGCCAAAGGTGACCAACCAATCTAAAATTATTCTAAAATTTGATGCTGCTTCCGAAATTATTTGTTTTTATTTAATAACATTTTAAAAAAATTTAAAAATTATGTCGTTTGACTTTCTTGCAGTTTTTTTCATCTCACCCTGTATATACCGACACCGAGTTTCACCAAATGGAAAAATTCGGTTGAATATGAGGCTGATATAACATATATGGTTCACAATAACCGTAAAATCTGATGGAGATGTATATCGAAGGTGTAAAAAAATCTGAACCGATCTCGATAAAATTTGGCAAATGTATATTCGAGCTATATCTGATATCTGCTACCAAAGATTGTTGTTGTGGAGTGCATATTACGCATGTGGGGGACTTAAAATTGGATGATACATATATGTAGGAGATATAGCTATATCTGCACCGATTTTCACCAAAATGTGAAGTACTTGCTTACCAAAATTCAGGTCATTCGCACTGATAATGGAAATTTGGTGAACAATTAACGCAATATCGGTTGAATAAATATATGGAAGCTATATCCAAATCTGAACCGATCAATAAAATATGGAAGAGGATGAAACATATATATGGGAGCTATAGCCATATCTGGAGTGATTTTCACCAAATTTGATGTACTTGCTTGTTCATTTTAACTCAGGTATACTTGTATGTCCTAATCAAAAAAACATAATCCCATCATTGTTTGCAACTTACTGATATGTAATAGGGCTGACCACTGTAATAACCGTAATTGTTATTGTTGTGATTTGATGTCGTTGTCTGTGGTGCAGGACGAAATTTTTTACGATAACGACGTGCAGTTAAGTGATGTCACAATATGGTATGTGGCGAACGGCGTATCGGTAGATAATAGTTAATGCTGCTTGAGCGAAATAAAAAATTTCTGATTATCATTTTACGAAGACTTGGTGTTTTGTTTGTTGTTTCTTTCCTACTCGCTGTGGTTTGTTTGTGGCCAAGTATTTGTTTGTTTAACCCACTTTATGGGCAATGGAATGGAAGGGAGGGAGTCGTATGTAAGTGCGTGCGAGTGTGTATCCTATGAGCTCCTTTTTCCCCAGCTGTTTGAAGATTTCACAATGAGTTTTAATTAATAGTAGACAGCGTGCAATTGTTATTGTTGTTATATTTTGATAAAAATATAATTAAATATTATTTTGTTAATATAGTATTTATCACTGGTATAACACAAAATTCCAATGTTTTTGTTATGAAAGTGACGACGTATTCACAAATGTTTTATTTCAATGAATGCAACAACACTATGGCAATACAATTCATACTAAATTTTACAACTCTGGTAAAGACATACTTTGACAGTTTGCCTAATTGGAAAGTGTTACAAGGGAGAGTTAGCAACTTGGATGGAGAGCGCATGTCTAGAAACAGTAAAGGGAAAACCGTTACATTATATGCATTCAACCGACTTTTAATATAAAACATAAAAATGTTTGATGCAAAAAATCTCATGGCAGAATTAAAGAGGTAACCTCATTTGCCAAATCGGTAATGGAAATACTCTTCTTATCCTCCACCATAAATGGTATGACGAACACCGTGTATGGTGGAGGATAAAAAGAGTCAGTTTGTAACTCATCGAAATAATAATTTTAAACCTAAGAAAGTATATATATTCTTGATCAGCGTAAAATTCTAAGTCGAAATAGCACTCATCCCCCGTCCGTCTTTTGTAATTAAGCTAGAGTCAAAACGAATTAAGATAGGAAGCTAAAATTTTGCACAAATCTGTCTTTTGTTTGCAGGCAGGTCAAGTTCGAAGATGGGCGATATCGATCCACGATATCGTATAGCCCCCATTTAACGGTAACCCGATATTCGGTGTTTTGATGATTTTTGGGATATTATTTACCAGAGTTGTTTCAAATTTCGTATTTAGAATTCGTAATGAGTACTACAGTCTTTGACAAAAAATTGGCCAGGTCCAGGTATAAGCCCATATATCAGTACCTCCCCATATTCGGTATTTTGACGATTTTATTTACAATATTCACCGAAATTGTTTAAAATTTCGTATTTGAAGTTCTTAATAGGTACTACCATGGTACAATGAAGAGAAGGTAGGTCAACTTTGAAAAAATTGCAAGTATAGAGGTCTACCTGTTTGGCTTGTAATGTCAGAATTAGTATCAAAACAATAAAAAATCAAAAGAAAACCGCGATAACTGAATGAAAGGTCAACACTTCTTTTCAAAATCATGTACTATATATCTCTAAAGGATTATTTCGCTACAAAAACTCTAGATTTTGTCGATGCATGCGTTGAAATTAACATTTTGAAAACACCCGAATTTGATTTTTTTCTGAACAAATTTTTTGTTATTAAAAAGAAAACACATACATAAACAAATAAAGATGACGTATTAGACCAAGAAAATAAAAAATTAAAATCATATCATATCATATAGTATCATAGCCCTACCTTGATATCATTGTACCATGGGTACTACGGCCTTTATAGAAAATTGTCTATGCAGGTCCAGGTCTTCGCATAGCTCCGATATAACGCCACCTCCCTATATTCGGTATTTTGATGATTTTAGCTACATAATTCACCTTTTTTTTCAAATTTCATATTTGAATATTGTAATGTCCACATATCCAATGTAACGACTATATTCGGAATTTTTAAGATTTTAACAGAATTTTTAACGGATTTTATGTTTTTTAAAATTTCCATACTCGTTCCAAATGGTGGAGGGTATTCAAAGTTTAGGGCGGCTGAAGTTGCTGCTTTTTATACCCTAGAGAGGGTATATATCATTTGATACAGTCAAAACGTGCCTAGTCGAAATAACGGTTTTAGACCTTTGGTCTCTTTGTACCAAATCCGTTTCAGGTCATTTGGTATCGATCTAGCGATCTCCGTCCGTCTGTCTATCTGGCTGGCTGGTGCGCACGATAACTCTCGAAGGGAGTATCCGATTTGGTCCAAACTTGCTTAATCGTAATATTTTTGTCAAAATTAGATCAAGCTCGGAGATGGACAATATCGGTCCAATCCAATAGGTCCCCCACAAATGATCGAAATTTTTTAAAAAATATATTTTCGGCACAGAAAGAGAAACGATAATCCGCTCCAACTTTGCAATTACTAATATTTGCGTCAGTGCTAGGTCAGGTGCAAAAATGGATAATATCGGTCCACTCCATCAAGTACCTCCCCCACAAGGGGTCAAGATTTTCAATAATTACAACTCTTATAAAATATGATGTAAGAGTCCGATTGTCTTCAAATTTCATACATCTTAATAATTTTATTAACCCAAGGTCTGGTGTTAAAACGGAATACATCAGCCACCTCCTACTGGTCGAAATTTTCAAAAAATATATTATCTGCACAGAAAGAGGCAATAGTCCGATTTTGCTCCAACTTTGCAAATCCTAACATTTGCCTCAGTTTTCGGTCAGGTGCAAAAAATGGATAATATCGGTCCACTCCATCCAGTACCTCTCCCACAAAAGATCAACATTTTGAATATTTATAATTCTTAAAAAATGTTATGGAAGAATCCGATTGTCTCAAAATTTCACACATCCCAATATTTTTATAAACTCAAGATCTGGTGCTAAGATGGAATATATCGCTCCACTCCTACTGGTACATCCCCCACAAAAGGT